TGCATCTCTACGGTGACACATAGTGGTCATTTTCAAGTATAAACGTCACTGACAACGAATCCGGTTGGGGCAGTGGTTAGTGTGCACAACTGGCGTGTTGTTAGAGCCTGTCACTTTAGGTTCTAATCCCTAAAGTGACAGGCTTAATTAATAATTATAATAAATATTTGAAAGTTGTGTTTTTATTGTTCTGCTCTTGTAATGTGTTGTAACATCTCTCTGACAACTGAATGAACTCTTTGTGAATATGTTATTTTGGTCATGAAATAATTAACATTAATAAAATACATCAAGCCACAACGCCTGGCATTTTTTACATATAAAGAATTGTATTTAAATATATTAATTGTTCTGCTGCATTAACTCCACTTTTATACTTTGCGGGAGTTAGGATAAGACAGATGTGCGATTGTGTGGTTTGTTCCCGACCCTGTCGATCAAAAGCAGATACGGGTCTCGAAATACTTGTGAACCGCCCCGATGCTTTGATTCGCCTTAGTCACGTGACATGGGTATTTCGAATCACACTTCAAACTCTAAACAATACTTTTGGATTTAACAATTTTTATTGTAAAACATGTTGAAGATTAGCCGATAGGCTGTCAATTCATTAAATTATAAGGTGTTCCCTCTAAAATGTTATTCAGCGTAATGAAGCCTCTCCTCCATTGACATCCATTCAAACAAAACGGCCTCTGGTCTCCTTTCCCACGTACTGGCAAAGCGGAAGCATTAGCATTAGCCGTTACACTTGTTTGGTTAAAGGTTGCATATGGCGTTAGTTTAATGACAAATGTCGTGAGCGCATTATTGTAGCGCGGATTTCCTTTGCTCTCGCACAAAACCGGACGCTCGCGCTCAGATACACGCTGCTCTCGCTATGAAGGTAGAATGACGTCAAAAAGATTTGCATACGCAGGGTAAGAGTTGTGGAAGTGTACATAAGACTGTAAGCGTAAATTAAATTTGCATGCGCAAGAGAAGCTTTGTAAAGGTGTAAATCGTGTTTCAAGTGCAAGAAAAAATTATTTGCAACATTTTACTGTTACTCGTAAGTGTAATTCATGTATTGTGAAACTGCAGCTTCATGCTAACGCAAAATAAATATGATCTGCATGCTTCTGACTTCCATTTTTCCGCGCTTACACTTTTGGCACGTTTTTTCGCCAAAAGACGGTCAAAAGCACTGCAAGCCTGTGAACAGTGATTTGCAAGCGAAAACAACAGTTTAAAGAACTGCAAAACGGATTGACTGCATAGAACCAATCTGTATGTGTACAAAACTAACTGTTGCAAATGTCTAAATGACTTGTTGTGCATGTGGGGCAAAAAGTTCCCGAAATAAACCGACATGTACAGCTCCGTCTTTCTTTTCTCTGCGCTTACAGTTTTGGCACGATTCTCTCACTAACTGAGTTTTGCAAGCGTGGAAATTAAAGATCCATCTTTGATTGTCAAAAGAATTCCAGGTTCAGTTCACTCAGCCAATTAGATTTCACGTAGTATTTTCATCGGTCAGTTGTGGAGGTCTGATTGGTTTAAGCTTTATTTATATAGCACCTTTTAAAACAGTGTATACAAAGTAGCCTACTTTACAAAGAGGCGAGAGCAGGGTGTATCTGAGCGCGCGCGTCCGGTTTTGTGCAAGAGCAAAGGAAATCCGTGCGCAAGCGGAGAGATTCGCGCTCGCGCAATATATTAATGTGCTTTCGCGCTACAATAATGCGCTCTCGACATTTGTCATTAAAATAACGCCATAGTTGCAGGCTTGCCTTCTAGTGGCTTTGGAGTATCTGCACTAGACTGCACGGCCGACTCGCTATCGCGAGAGATTTTTGCCATATGTCGAAGTGAAGCCGCACAGTTCAAATACAAAATAAACACCGCTGCCTACAAATCTTTTATCATTTGTAGTACAGCACAACAAAGTAGGACATAGCAATAAACACAATTACCTCAGACAACCCCCCCAAAAAAAACAACCGGACAGGCAAATCTCGTGGTCTCGCGAACCCAGTTGCTTCTCTTTTGAAATGCAGTTGGCGCTGCGTGAAGGACGAAACAAAACCTTGTCGGAGCCGTAATTCCCTGCAGACGTGTGCAGTGTAGGCCGGTTTCACACCGCAAGCGTAAGCGGCGCATATTCTTTTTTTCAGTGAGCATGTTAATAAATGAGTACATTCACACCGGGAGCAGGAGAAACGTGTGAGCAGTACTGAAGCGATGGTTTCGGCGCGAGTCTTTTTTTGGTGCGCTGCTTAATTAATGTGACATCACACTTTTGATGGAAAAAATAAATATGATTTCACACACAACGTGCTAAAAATGCACAAGCATGTCTAGTGTGTTTTAACAAGAATTGGAGTATGCCAGGAAATAAAATGAAGAATGAAAATATTTTTCCCCATTTTACCCATTTTAACTTTTTGGGTTAATGTACGGTGTATTATAAAAAAATATTATAAACAGTACATTCTACATGGAAGTATGCCTGAAACACACGATCAGAGCTATTTCCTTGGTTGTGTTTTTTTTTTTTTTTACTATTTACATGCGATTCCCCGTGTTAACAAACTTTCAAGACTTTAAAACTTTCAAGTTTATAAATGACCAGCTTCTGAAAACACATTTATAGTTGTCTTTGTAAAAAACAATATGTAGTTTTGGAGCCACTGCTGTGTGAAACAGGCATAATCCAACATAAAAAATTAAACTAAAGTAGGCTATTCAGGATTACTTGAAACTAACAGGCAGGTGTATGTGATTAGGGTTAGAGCTAAACACTGCAGGATAGTGCCCACCCCTGTTCTATCATATTAAAGTCACAATTATTATCAGACCAAGTCTGACAAAAGGAATTTTGACCCCCAATTCTTTAGTGGGCCTCTGATTAATTTGATGGTAAAGGTGACTTGGCAATACTGCTTCATATTAAATTGAAAATTGGGCCATGACCTTAGGGTGCCTATGAAGTTTGACACTGGTTAGTTCAGTACTTTTAAATCACTCTGACTAAAATGCTGCCTATATTGATGGTTGGAATCATGCTTAAGCCGGGCTCAGACTACAGGAGTTTTAAAATCCTAACCAATTATGAAATCTGGTTGCAGGACACACAAAAGGAGAATCTTCGCAGATTTAGTTCCCTCAAATCTTAAACACGCACACACTAGATTAAACAAATTAAACTACAAATTAAACATTACACACTACGATTTTATAAAGATTTTCATGCCTGAGAGAGTGCCTCACATGATCTCACGAAGCAGATCGTCATTGACGTTTCAGCAATGTTTACATATGTTAGCTAGAGTGTTAGCAGCTTTTACACTCTTTGTCCTTGCGGTTGTGGTACGTTTTGATACATTGTACAGACAGTTGCGTTATTGCAAAACTTCCACAAGCAGTTTCTCCATCTCCTCTATCCAACGGACCCGTACAGCAGCTTCTTTTGCAGTCGAGTATTGGCTATTGTGAAAGTACTGACATAATCATAGCCATCATCCCGATTTAAAATCCTAAATATCAAACATGTTTGATATTAATCGGGGCAGCCCCTATTTGTGTGAGAGCAGATCGGGAGGTGCAAGATTCGATCTGCAAACGCCTCACATTACAAGATAATCCTTGCCAAACATCGGAAGCCAACCAAGATCCTCAAAAAGATTTTTTCTTCGATTCTCGGGAGGGTAAAATCGGGGATACATCGGCCTAAATCTCCTGTAGTGTGAGCCCGGCTTTAGTTCAGTGTGTGTGCGCTGTCATGCTTCCAGTCTTATAAATTGTTACACAATAAATGGCTTTTCTTTGCAGACATACAGAAAGAGGAAGCTGGAGGGTGACAGAATTGCTAAGGTTGGAGATCTTAAAAAGATCTCTAATGGCCTTTCATCTTCTCTCAACGGAGCCAACTCCAAACAGAAGCTGCAGTGATGCCACAATATGGAGCAAAATGGAATGCTCTTCTCAATTCACTTATGCTGAATACTAGCACAATAGTAACCATAATCATCTGATAATCAAAATGCAATTTTATCAATTAGAATAGAACTTTTTAACCGTTTTGTATGTTTGTTTTGCATATGTTCCTCTCAAGCCAATGTAAATGCTGTACAATAATTTTGTGTGGAAAAACATTTTTCAAACTCTTACTCAAAATAAACACCTCTGTTATGAGTACAGTATCTACTTTATTACACATCTTTGGCAATTTATCTCTAATGACAAGAAAACTTTCAGTAATATCCCCCAAATCACTATAATCATTTATTGTTCAACAAAAGATGCCTTAGGCTATAAGTCTTAATCTGATATAACCATTCAGTGTGTAATTGAATGTAAAGATACGTAGGATCTTATATCATAGCACTAATAATACACCTTTCCCAAGTCTTCATTATCAGCCATCAGATATGGATTGTTAGGTATAGATGTCAAGTCCCATGAAAAATGCTGTATAAAATAAATTTAAACTGTTAAAGACCCCATGAAAATGTTTGATGTATGCATTTTTTTGTTGTTGTTGATGAGGGTTGGAGCTAAACTTTGTAGGAAAGTGTATATCAAGGGCCAGAATTGCCCACCCCTGATATATTTCCTATTGCAACCAGAGAGAATAGCAAAGGGTTTGCCCATTTGTTTAAACAGCCAGTAACCTTTTTTATAAATGGCACAGCCTTGAGCCAGGATTTGTTACCTCCTATTGCAAATCTTGGCAGGTGCTATCAGCAAACAGACCAACTTCTTCTATAAAGCATTTTATTGTATATGCTGATTGTTGAGTCATCAGTATTTTTGGTCTGTTTTGCTAGAAGATTACTGTGTACATCTGCTTAATTTTAATAGGAACAGCTGCATGTATAATAATACATGACTCAAAACAGTACAAATCTTCAGTTTTAATTTCATGGGAGTGTTTGGTGCAAACCTATAAAATAATTTTTTTTTTAATGACCACAGAAAACATTAATGATTGTCTTTATTATAATCTAAATAAAGCACTTGCAATTTGAAATGATAAATTTGATCATGTGATATTTTACACCAACAAAAATTGCTTTAATTAGGAGTAAACTTTTCAGTCCGAAAAAAATATATGAAGAGATCTTCATATATCTTCGCATACGGAGAGAGAGAGAGAGAGAGAGAGAGAGAAAAGCGCCATAGTGTGAAGTCCTATGAGGGATCAACAGTAGTGGCATCTTGAGGAGAGGCAGGCTGGAGAAGATGACAATTTTAATAACTTAGAGTCTGAGTAGTATGTATTATCGGTTTACAGGCTAACATTTAAATATCAGATTCTTGACCTGGAAAAAGTCCAGAATTCTAGGTCTAAAGTCTACATCCAATGCTGGTTAAAGAAAGCTGTAATGAACAAACTGCTCACCGCAGTAATTTTGGCCTCTCTTCTTGCTGATAAACTAAATGGCGATTCAGCACTCGCATGCGGGATGAGGAGAGAATCCAACCTGTTATGGGAGAGAAGAAGCTTGTTTTTTTTTTTTTAATTTACATGCAAGAACTTGCCTTGGTCACATGGGTTTCTGCTAAATATGCAATAGACAACAGATAAAATACAGTACATACGATGAGATGTGTACACATTATGATATACAGTTCTAAAATTAACTGCAGTTAGGTCAAATATCTTATTCCGCACACACACACGCATGACTTTAGGCTTGAGAAAAGCTTGTCTGAATGTTTTAAACAAAGTCCTGAACTCTAAAGATTATTGGGGCCTTATGTCATCTGAATATTTGAATGGTTTGACGAAAAGAGTTGTATATTTAAAAGCTATTAAAAGCTTTAAAGGCGACATATCATGAAAATCGGACTTTTCCAGGTTTTAAGTGCTATAATCTGGTCCCATCTACCAACCAAACGTGAAAATGATTAACCCAGTAACTTTGTTTCGGTAAGCCTTTTTCTGCAAGGGTCTGAGAAAACGAGCTCCCTTGGTGACGTGGCAAAGGGATCTCATTATGATATTACCGCCCCTTAATCTGTAAGTTTCAGTGGATTTATTGATTTATTTACTGTATATTGCTGCTGCCACACAGATCTAAAATAAACGTGATTTATTTCCCAGCAGTTTACCTCCACAGACATAACCGACTGTTTTGTGACTTGTGTTTTTAATGTAAACTTGTGTGAATGAGAACTTGGTTTAGTACTCACATGCTGTGACAGCAGCTTTCTGTCCGTGTGCTTTTGATGTGTGCTCTCAGAAAACCATATATCAGTAGTTTAAACTCGTATGCTTTAAAACATGATTTTAGCGCGATAAACTTGATAATCAGAACCAAAACAGATGTTCTTGCTGGTCCGAGCTGTAATGGCACAGCTCTATTCTAGAAAAGGGGCGGGGAGCAGCAGCTCATTTGCATTTAAAGAAACAGGCCCAAAAAACAGCCCGTTTCTGCTTCCACTCAAAATAGGCATTTTCAAAATGATATAATAAATTATCTGTGGGGTATTTTGAGCTGAAACTTCACAGAAACATTCTAGGGACACCAGAGACTTATATTACATATTGTAAAAAGGGGCATAATATGTCTCCTTTAAATAAATAAATAACATTAATTACTTCGAAAGCTCAATAGCAGGGCTGTCCAAACTCAGTCCTGGAGGGCCGGTGTCCAGCAGAGTTTAGCTCCAACCCTAATTAAACACACCTGAACCAGCTAATCAAGCTCTTACTAGGCATAGAAATTTCCAGTCAGGTGTGTTCAGGCAAGTTGGAGCTAAACTCTGCAGGACACCGGCCCTCCAGGACCGAGTTTGGACAGCCCTG